TCGGAAGAGAACAAGGTAAGTAACTGCTAACCCTAATTTTATATATTTCTTTACGTGAAAAGGTCACGACGCAGTCTCCAGTTTGTATATTGGAAAAAGATCCAAGAGGGACTGTCAGTGGAACTAATGGAGAAAGCCTGTCATATGTATGCACCTACAGGAAACAGAAAACACCAGAAAAATCAATAATAGAAACAGGAAACGACAAAGATTTAGATAGAGAAAAGACCATGACCCCTTGATAACATCAAATCAAGCTCGACAATACGAAATCAAATATGGAAATACCTCAACGTCATCTCCTGTTACTTTGAGTATTTCTTGAACTAGAGGCACAACAGCTGGATCCCCACATAAATGTAGTTCATCAGCCGCTATTCCAAGCAGAGCACGAGTAAATGAAAAGCCCCTTGTTTTACATCCTACCATCTGAAATGAGGAAAGTGTTCATTAGTAAGATAATATCGTAAGTTCTCTTTCTCCAGGTTAAGGAGTAACAAAGAGACTAACCTGAATTTCATCAACGATGGCGCAATCATACACTGAAGTTACATCAGCCATTTCAACTGTGACAGCTTTGTGTTTTGCCCCTTCAACTAACTCTTTCTCTTGTCCCGTGATCAAATCACATGGAACCATTGCCTTGTTTAATCGTTTGGCTACCTCCCATGCCAACAATCTCAAAGGACCACAATATATGCCTACAAGTAAAACATTTTTAAGTATTTTTTGCAAGATTGACTCATGTATTCTTGTTCTTAAGATATGGCTTACAATTAACTGATCATCATCAGAAGAATTAGGCCAAAAGTTAGGACACATTCTGGGAAAATAAAACTTCGATCGAAGAGAAGCAAATGAAAGGCTTTCACAAAAATTCTCGTTCAACAATGAAGTTTGAGGACAGACCTGAAGAACTCCGCTCGAGTTGCTTAAGAGCTTGATATGTTTTCCCACTATTTGTTGGGCCGACATGCAGAATGACCTTGCGGTTCTTCTTTCTAGCGACTGGGTACCACAAATGAGGGCAGCTGAAAAATTGAACATTATCACATAGCTACACCGTGAATTCCCGTATTAACATCTCCAGATAAGAAATCATAAGCATGCTATAGCTGTGTCTAAATGGAAATCATATTTCTTCGCAAACATATAACAATCGAACCATAAGTAAAATCGGGATTCAAAGGAACTTATTAAAAGCCGCAACATTGAACTTCAGTTTCCTATGCCATTCTGAATATTCATATCCAATCAAGAAGTTATGCTCTTACGTGAGATCAGTGTAATCAAATTTCGAGGTGGTTCCAGAGCCCGTGAAATCAAAATTGGTGAAACCCGAGATCTTGCTCAATTGCCTTATCATAACTCTTAATCTCGAAGAGTCTCCAAACCCGGGCTCCATATGAAACCGCCATAGCCCTCCTTTATCTGCTGAAGAATAAAGCACACAAGACCATCACGAAACTAATCAAAACAACAATACGAAACTTCACGTAACTACAAGAAAGCGCCATCCTTCTCATTGTAATTCATCAGTATGTTCTCTAATAGGTGGACAATGAAAGCCGAGAGAAGCTGCAGAGCCCACAAAGCAACGATCATAGAAGTAACATCCAGCGCGAAATGTTGATTTTGAAGATGGAACATTGAAATTCTTAACAGAAACAAGGGAAGGTGCTCATTTCTTCGAATTCTACAATCACGGATAATCCCTGGCCGATTCGAAGCAAGTTTTGACAAATTTTCCAGTAGTTTCTAGGAAACAAAACCAGAATGGAAAACAGAAAAAGGGTCTCGATGCTCTAACCTTCAACGATTCTAGAAATCCCAAAAGCTGTAGCCTTTCGGAGCCGAAGCACAGAGCATGCCATTGATTTTGTTCAAATCAAGTGCAGAATCGATTAATCATGAAAAAATAATTTGTTCAGTCACTTGGAAACGCCGGAAGGATAAGAAAAAGATGATGACTTAAGAGAAAAATAAGCGAAATTCCATAATTAGAAGAGAAATCGAAGGACGACGTTCAAGTGATGGTAGAATCGCTGACTGCCATTGTTAGACCTTATTCTTCTCAGCGGTCGGCGAGATTGCTTTGCTTGTGGAACTAAGGGAGAATTTCTAAACAAACCCTAATCGTTATAGTATTTTCTCGTTTAACCCCGTAGTTTTAAAATCTTTCAATTGCATCCCCAATTCTTCTTTAAGCCCATGTGAAGGACCTTGCTTAAATAGGCCCATTTCTAAGCCCATCTCATATCTTCGTATACCCAAAATACCCCTGGTTATATCCATAATTACTCGATCGCCATTTTCTTCTGTAGAGAGCAAAGGCAAAAAAGAAACAAATACACTTCTTGTTCGACAAGTCGCCTCATTCTCATATTAATCTCACAGTAACGTGATTTGTTCCTTCTGCCCGGCGCCGGAGAAGAGATCGGAAGCGAAATTGAAGAAATCGACCGCCGGAGAAATCTACGACGGATCTGTAGCAGAGACATAAGATGGAGTGCGTGTTTGGTCTCGTCGGGAACGGGTTCGCCATCGTTGTGGCCGACACATCTGCTGTTCACAGCATCCTCGTCCACAAGAACAACGAGGACAAGATCATGAAACTCGACTCTCACAAGCTCGTAGCCGCCAGTGGGGAGCCCGGCGACCGGTAAACTCCTCCGCCGATCTCCCTAGACGTGTGTTTTTTTAGTGATTCAGAGTATAGACTGATTGTGCATTTTGGGATTTTTTTTAGGGTTCAGTTTACGGAGTATATTCAGAAGAATGTGGCGTTATACCAGTTCCGAAATGGGATCCCGTTGACTACTGCCGCCGCTGCGAATTTCACTCGCGGAGAGCTCGCCACCGCTTTGAGGAAGGTGAGTTTCTTCTCTGGCTCCATTGCTAAGGTTTTACCTTGGAAGTTTTGTGGGTGATTAAGGTTTGTGTGATTTGCCGGCGTGAAATTATGTTGAATTTGTGGCATTTCTGATGATGATGGATCTAACTGTAGCTATTTTAGGTGATTCTGGTTGTACCGTCGATGGTGATCTTGAATTTGGAAGTCCTGTTAGATTAGATTTCCTTTGTCCCATACAGTTTTAAAAAGGCATTTCTATGGGAGATTGCTGCAGATTGCATTGAAGTGTTATATGGTCACACTGCAGTTTTGACAGTATCATATGCGGTGTGATGTACACAACTCATGGCTTCCTTCATTCACTTCCTGTTGTGTCCGGCAGTTAAATTTTTTGTTTCAAGCGATTTCCAGATTGTTATTGATATATTTTTTATTGAACTCAAACTGGGTTTGTGTTCATCATTGAAGCAATTGGGTTAACCTCAAGCAATTATAAGCAATTTTTGGATATGCAGTGTGCCTAAAAAGGGAAATTTAATTTACAGAGTTAAGTGTGCTGAAGTCTAGGCTCATCTCATCGGTTTGTCGAATAGGTGACTTTGCTGCGAATTCTTAAAACCTTGCCTCCTTTTTTCAGCCGAATGAAATCACTGCAGCAGTCACATGAGTTTCTTTTTGAATTGGTTGAAGTCAAATGATTTTCAGCTGCTTATTTTTCATTCTGTTTGAATCTCGATGCATATTTTGGTGTAAAAGTCAGAACTTGGATTGAAACTAACGGGTTCAGATCATCAACTAAGGTGAATACTTGCGATTCATCGTAAATTGATAATAGAATTTTTCAATACTAGGATGTGTTGGATTACACTCTCCTTCTGCACTGACGGGTTTGTTGTCGTTTTCCCTTTCTTTTAAAGGAGTTGAAAACACAGTCGCGTATTTGTGTTGTAAATAGCCATTAAATGATTGTTATTAGGAACTGTCCCATTTTAATTTTTGTTATTTTCTCATAGGTTGTGAAAATGAGTAACTATTTTTTTTTTGGATGGTTTGTACAGAATCCGTATTTCGTGAACATACTGATGGCAGGGTACGACAAAGAGACAGGGCCGTCACTCTACTACATCGACTACATTGCAACCCTTCACAAGGTGGACAAGGGAGCGTTTGGGTACGGCTCCTATTTCTCCCTCTCCACGATGGACCGACACTTCAGGAGCGATATGACCTTGGAAGAAGCAATAGAGCTGGTCGACATGTGCATTCTGGAGATCAAGTCTAGGCTCGTTGTTGCACCCCCTAACTTTGTTATCAAGATAGTTGACGAGTCCGGAGCTCGCGAGTACGCCTGGCGCCAGTCAGTTAAGAACGTGACTACCTCCACTGTCTAAGTTGTTTGTCCTCGGGTTCATACCCTTATGTGTTACCCCGAAACTTTTCGATTCTGTTCGGGAACTCTTATGGAAAACGTTACAAGCTCTGGTCTTGAACTTTGATATTGCCATTGTTTCAACTTTGGGGAAATCGGAAAAAAGATCAGGATTAGGTAACAAAAAGTCAGGGTAAAAGAGGAATATGTATGTATATGCCGAAGGCCGCCATTGCTGACAGACCCCAGAAGTTGATGATGGTGGGGGGTTTTGTTGCAGCGGATAGCATCAAGGATCCTGGTACTATTGATTGCGGGGGTGGTGGCGGTGGTGATTGGACGGCTGATTCCGATGAAGCCACCGCTATTTCGGGCGGTAAGCCAGCGGATGGAGAAGATGAGGTCGAAACTCCGCCGTTTCCTACACCATTGACGAACACAAAAAAAGTCAAACTTTTTAATTTCATGATCAAAATATGGGTAATGCTTACAATTTTCATCGGAGATTTCATCAAATACAGAAAAAATAAATAAAGAGTTTGGTAAATTCCATGTGGTTGTATCATCCAGAAGTGTTTGATTTATAGAGCGAGGAAATGTTGGCTGCAGGAATGAATTTTCCAATTCGATCAAAATAAACTAAATTTGATTTTGCATGTTCCGGTTTGCTTATTGGTATCAAATCCTCTGGTTCCATTCTAAGATTTTTGTAAAGCCCTAGTTTGTTCAATATATTGGCAAATACACGAACGACCATGATCCATTATCCTACGTACAGCTCCTGTATCTATGATCGATCAAACAACGTGACTCACCGGAAACTGAAGGAGTTGTGAATTGTAAGCTCTGAAGCGGCGGAAGCTCCGGCGACTCTGCAACGCACATAAACCCCGCAATTTCACATCTACGATTCGTTTCGATTCAAGAGAATCCGATCGATCGTTGGGGAAAACATAACTCAAAAGTGCGGTAATGGAAAGATCGTGAACCTGATGACGAGCAGAGTGATTCCAGAGATTCGTCGGAGCTCCCATCGTTGCAGATCTGCGAGAGAGAAAGGACTCTGGATCTATCCAACGGAAAGCCAAGGATCATTGGCTCACGGAGTAGGTAACAGAGGCAGTTTCCGCCGCCGGTGTCAATGGATGCGGCGAAAATCGAGCAGCACTGAAAACTCGCCGTCTCCGTCAGGTTGTTCGGCGGTGCAGCGACGAAGGGAAGGCATGGAGAGAACAGAACCAGCTCGTCCGTACAGCTCAGACTCGGCGGCGGAGGCGGAAGCTGCGCCACGGAGGAGGAAAGGACGGTGAGGAATAAGAAGACGGCGGTGCTTGTGACGGACATGGCGGTCATATTTTCCGGTGGTCAAGAGTTTGTTTTGTTTCTGTTGGAGAGAGGTTAGTTATGGTTTTGTACATCGCAGCGCCAAACGTAACAAATAACAGTGGCGGGAAAAAGTGTTCGCTGGTTCAGTTATGAATTGACGCAACTGCCCCTAAAGATTTCATCTGCGTCAGCAGTGTCAAAATTACAAAGGAAATTGATATTTTTGCTTTTATAATGAAAGAAAAAAGCAAAACACCCGAATAATGGCTTTAAATCATGTTACAATCCAATTCAAAATAATAATAATAATAATAACAACGTATACACATATGCTTTTTCAATGAACAATCACCCAAATAAATGACAAATAAATCTCGTCTACAACAATACCAATCATAATTCATAAAATGGACCACACACCACAAATAATCTCGCAAAAGGGAAAAAAAAGAAAGAAATCAGAAGTATTTAAGAGCAAGGAGGCCGAGGACGAAGAAGAGAAGAGAGGGGCTGTAAGAGGAGCGGAAGGCGGCGGAGGAGGAAGGAGTTAGAGAAGGCCGGCTGCTTCCACCGACATCGGAGTTCGGAGCTCCGCCGTCTACAGTGGCCGGAGACGGTGGCTGAAGAACAGGCGTGGTGGAATCGGTTTGCGGCGGCTGAGCTGCAGGCGTCGGCTCAGGAACAACCGCTGGAGACGGCGACATGGCCGGTCCAGACGAAGCAGGCCCTGCTCCAAAAAATACATACATATATAAACATATATAACCTGAAAATCATCAGAAATCTACAACAATGTAATCAGTTGTGGCGTTTTTACCAGGAGCAGCAGCTGGAGAAATGTTTGCTGCAAAACAAAAGATCATACACATTAGATCATACACAAATTTATACTAGGGATGGGGATTCCGGTTAGAGAATTTGGTTCCGAACCGAAATCGACCAGAATCAAACTGAACCGAATAACCATCGATACAAATTTGGTACAATTTTTGTAGAACCGAATAAGTAATTCTCAAATCGAACCGAATTCGATAAATATCGAACAAAACCCCAAATTATACGCAATTATGTATGAATATATCAGTAAATATCAAGTTTCAGTCTTATTTGGTACTTAGTAAAAAACAAAATTGAATCAAATTGAACCGAACGATTAACATTCGGTTCCAGTTTGGTATAATTATTATAGAACCAAATAAACCATTTTCGAACCGAACCGAACAAATACCAAACTGAAACCTAATATAAATATTATATATATATATATCTAGAGAGAGAGAGAGAGAGAGAGAGATTGCCTTTGCATTGGAGAGGGACACTAGGCATGTTACAGGAGCGGGGAAGAGAGACCGCGGTGGTACGGTTGATCGGAATTTGGAAGGGAATATTTCCGGTGACGATGAGACACAAACATCCCATCCCTCCGGTGGTCAGAGACCTCAGCGAGTTGCAGCAATCAGACGAAGGCGAACTCACATTGCCGTTGCCGCTCGTCAGGAAGCTCATACATGGTCCTACAGTGTTCATCATCGTCGGCGTGCATTGGCTCCCAGGCTGTTGCCCGTTAGCCATCGCTGACATCATCGCCACGAGGGCTACCACGATGATCTTAGACATCGTTCTTGGCTCGGGCTCGGTCGTTGTTTCAGCGTATATGTGTGTACTATCTGTGTATGTGTGTTGTGTTGTGTTGTGAGGAGGTTGAACAAGTGAGGTTCGGTTTTTATAGATGGGAGGGAAAAGAGGGAGGGCTTAGTTCAACCACTATAACTGACTATGTAGTCAGAGCCGAGTTGGCGGTGACCGGCCAATAGATAGCAGACACGTGTCGGGTCGAAAGGGATTAGGAAGCGGTAGATACATGTCTGTTACCAAACATATGCACAAAGCCCAACTACTCTTCCAAGGTAGTTATGTTCTGTAATTGAGCAGAGCTTCTGAACAAAAGACTGCAAAACCTAATCCACATCCTTCTAACATCTATCTCTTCACTCACTATTTTTCAGACATGGAATTTATTAGATTCTTCAAGAATCCATATATCTTACATTCAAACAACCGAATACACACATAAATTAGATATGCTAACCGATATAAACTAGTAGTGAAAATGATTTAAACTGATAAACTGATAGCTTTCTGAGAACTTTTTTTCCATTTTTTTTCTTATCATGGTAATGATGGGGAAAAAAAAAATCAACCATACAATTCAATTTCAAGTCTCATGATCTTTCAACTGGGAATGCTAAAAAAAATGGCTCCAAAATCTCGGAATTGTGAAAGAGAATGCTCAAAGGGAAATTTTTTTCTCCAACAAAATAAAAAAAAAAGTCTCAAACTTTAATATTTTAATGTATGAAAAGCAAAATCTACTCTTAGTAACAATTAGCAACCTTCAAAAAGAGACCTTTTTTTTTTTTGTAAATCTTTAAAGTAGTTCACCCACCTAAGCCGACATCAAGACCACCGAACCAAAAACAAACGTAATCAAAATGTTTCCAAAAGTCTCCGTGTCTAAACTAGTGGAAGTGAAACGTGTTTGAACAGATTAAGTATCACGATTTCATAGAAACTGTCGGAAAAGTAGGAGAGAGTTGGTCACCCGTATTGAGCCACACCCTTCTCTTCGCCATATTTCCCGGCCTCACTTCCCTCGTTTATATATAACCCTTTCGACTCTCAGAGACCATATTCCATCAAACACAATCACAAACAACCAAATTTTCGGAAAACATCCTAAAAACATGAAGATGGAGATGGGTTTTGCGTTTCTTACGGTTTTGGCTGTGATGTTGTTTTCGACGGCCTCTGCTCAGTCGTCGAGTTGCACCAATGTGTTGATCAGCATGTCTCCATGTCTCAACTACATCACGGGAAACTCCTCGACCCCTTCTCAGCAATGCTGCAGTCAGTTGGGTAACGTTGTCAGCTCTTCCCCTGAGTGTTTGTGTCAGGTCCTGAACGGCGGAGGCTCACAGCTCGGGATCAATGTTAACCAGACTCAGGCTCTGGGTTTGCCCCGAGCTTGCAATGTTCAAACTCCTCCTGTCAGCAGCTGCAACGGTAACAACTGCTTTTGAAATCATTTCATTAGATTAAGACATTCTTCTGATTCGATTCTTGCAATCTTACACCTAAATTTTGCAGGAGGTTCTTCAGCTGGTTCTCCTGCAGGATCACCAAACACTTCAGGTAAATATGGATTAACAGATGGAGAAAAAAAAGGCATGGATATCAATAATCTCTCCTAGGTCTAATGCACTGATGATTCCGATAATAATGCAGGAACAGAAAATAGACCAGGAAATGGATCAAAAACTGTTCCATCAGGGGAAGGAGGGAGTTCATCATCTGACGGAAGCTCTACCAAGCTCTCATTCTCTCTTCTGGCGTTCCTGTCTGTGGCTTCCTGTGTTGCAATCTTCTCAGCATAAAGATTTTCTCTCTACACGCTCCTCAAAGCTATGAAGCTTTTTTCGTTACTACATTTCATTCTTTATTTTCCGTTATTGATTCGTGATGGATTTTGATTTCGTGGGATGCATTTTATTCTCTATATACCCCTACTTTCAGGATGATATTGGTTTTTAGTGATGGAGAGCCTATCAACTCTCTTCACCTTTTGCAATAAAAGTTTCTTTCTGAGTACATGATTGAGAAAATGAGCAATGACTTTATAAGATAAGTTAACAGCTAAAGGACTCATATCAGCAAAAAAAAGAACCTATAGAACATAACGGACTCTATGAACTAAAGAATTTAAGTTTACTATGGGAAGAACCAACCTTCAATGGCTGTATCCAATCTGAAAAAGACAACAGAAGGTTGAAAGTATCCCTGTCTGCTTTGCAAAATGTACCATTTCCACTCCAACGCCTGATTCAGAGAGCAAGGCATATTAGTTAGATGGCATAATACCATAAAGAATAAAAACAATTGAATTATGATATCAAACCAAAGATATAATGGGAAACCGATACTTCATCTCCTTGTCTCCATGAAACCGCTTGTGGATTTACAAACCATCATCTAGAACACAAATCAAACACTTGAAATAATAATGGGTTTTGTTTGCAGACAACAATATGATACCAAACAAGCTTACCTGCTCAAATCATCCGATGACAAGAACCTTGGATCGAGCTTCAGGGCAGAACCTTTGGGGAAACCTCTCAGAATCACATGGGTTAAATAATGTAACATTTTCACAGTTGCAGCTGAATGAAAACTTAGCAGAACTGGCACAGCAGAAGAAAACATAACTGTGATGTTACATCTGCAGAAATCCAACCTGCCACATGAAGGGGATTGTGAAATTTGTGTTCTCTAACTTTTAAGCCCATGCCATTCTTTCCAACATGTGAATTTTTCAAGCCTCCAAACCATGTGAAGATTTTTCAAGTTATTACACATCATCACATGCTCTAACTCTGTCCTTTGTTACAGCATTGAACAAGAGACTGCCTCTTTGTCAGGATTGCAGAGGATGCCATTCTCGCAGTAACACAGCAAGTGTATTATGAATATCCACCACTTGAATCGACCAAAAGTAATAGGCTAACACTCTTATGCTGATGATCGGTTTGAGTTCCTCGTAATAGACAACATAATCACATTACTGCGTCACAACCATGTTCACTATAAGTGTCATTGATGTTAGGTTGAAGTTACAAAAAGGTATAGGTGTTATTGGGTCAATAAAAATATTAGGAACGTGACCGAGACCGGACAAATTCTTCCAGCTTTTCCCAGACTTCCAATGCAGCAGCCCTGTCTTGGTGCCGCTTGTTCTTGCTAATCTGATCGGTTCAAAAGATATGGAAGGTTACAGAATGATAACTTAAACATTACAGCAGATTAAAAGGCATAGAATCTCTCACCGAGATTATCTTTACATTCCACTGTTTCACTGTCTTCGCCGATTCAATACTGTCATCTTCAAATCGCAAGAAAAATCCAAGGACTGCAAAGAAAAGAAGCAAATAGTTAATCGAAAGCTAGCTCTCTGATTCAGAAACTCTAAAACCCAACAAACCAAATCTCAAGGCTGGCTACTACAAACCCAAAATTCAATCCCAGGACTAACAATGGTTGGAACCATTTGACTTACTCCTGTTAAATATCTCAACATGATCCTTAAAAGGCCAGTCCTTGAACTGCCATTCCTTCCCCAACACGAAAACGGCTACGACCCGATCCCAATCATCCTGTTTCAAAGCAGATGGCTTGTCCCTAACCTCATAAGCTGTCACAACCTTCTCCCTGTCCCTACTGAACTTCTTCTGGACCGTAATACAATCCGGTTTTGGTCCCTTCATCTGCTTTGCCTTCACATCAGTGGGTATAAAAACACCATCTTCAAGAAACTCCTTCACATTGTATATGGTGATCAATGTCTGGAAAGCACTCGGCACCAGAATTATCGGCACACCTTCTCCAATCTTCCCAGATTTGAGGTGAAGCTTCGGCTTAGGGTTGGCTTCACACCCAGAATCATCTCCACCTCCACCAAAGCCTACAATACCCCTCTCCTCCGCACCCATCAATCTACTCTTCGCCACCAATCCGTCTTTCCTCTGCTGCGACTCAATCCTCTGTCTCTCCTCCTCCCTCTTCGTCAAATTCACCAAAACGCTGTAAAAATCCCTGTTTTTGCACTGCAGAATCGCCTCCCGGCTCTTCAATGGCCGCTCGTTCGACCGAATCAATACGACATAATCAACATCCTCTCCCGTTTTACCGAAATCCTCAACCTCCATGTCCTCAATCGCATCCTCGCGGGAAACAAACGCGGAGTTATCCTGATCGGGTCGATACTCTTCGTTATGCTTCTGGCTCTGTGCGTTCTGCTGCTGGAGCAAGAGGAAGTCGATGGAATCCGAGGAAGCAACTCTTCCGGTGAGGTAATCGAGGAGGGGCTTCCGATCAGGCAGAGTAACAGCTGGAACGGCATTTTTGAAGGTGGATTGCATGTACTCGCCGTGCTTCAGATGCTGATTTTTCACGTAGTGGACCAGAGCCTCGAGCGTGTAGAGGCTGCCGGACTTCGACCGGTACGCCGTCTCTGACGCGCTCGGAAACGAGTACTCCGTCCCGAATCGGTACTCGTCGCCGACACGCTCGATTTTGTCCAGGTCTCCTCGGATTGTGAAGTCCCTCAGCACCGACAACGGATCCATCGTGTCTCACAGAAGAGAGAGAGAGAGAGAGAGAGAGAGAGAGAGAGAGATTGTTCTTCGAGATTTAGGGTTTAAAAACTATGGAGTTCAGGGTGAGATCCTGAACAAGAAGACGCTTCCCCGGAGGAGGGCCGGAGACGAAGACCGAAGGAGAGAACCAACAGTGAAGAGACGGTGGCTTCAAAACCGGGTCGGTCAGGAAAAAAATAGGACCGGTTTGGGTTTGGGTAAGGCCTAAAATTATAAACCTCCGTAATTAATATATGGGCCTTTTTATAATGGCCCAATTAAGCCCATCTAATATATGTAACAAGTTGACTGAATTTTTATTTTTTTTGTATGAATAAGTTGACTGAATTTGATGACATGTTATTAACAAATTTTGAATTTTTGTTATGTTTTTGCCGGTAATGAATTTTTGATATACACATGTAATGTAAATTAAAATTATATATCTTATTTATAAAATCCAGAAAGTGAACGAACCCAGTATTTTTATTTTATTTTTGAATCTGTCAAATTGAATTGGATTGGATCGGATTGTAACGAAAATATAACTGTTGAGGCTGACAACCCACCACGTGCACCTATCCATATATTAAGCTGACGAAAGGTTCTCTCTTTTGAGCGCATCAATGAAAATAATAATAATTTTTTAAATGTTTCATTTTTTATGGTATTTATTTTTCCTAGATAACGGTTTTCGTAATATTTTTATTTAAAGCATTTGCCACTTCTGATTTATTTTATTTAATATTTTTTCCCATGGTTTATTTATTTAACTTGGTGCGTATATACTCAAAAGCCATTCAGATGCATTGTTTTACACACATATATGATATATATATATATATATACATATAACAAAAAGAAACCATAGGCTGAAGGTCTATAATAATTTATTTCACTGCGTAAAAACTTAAAATATAGCTCTTTTGTACATATGAATATATATGTATATTATTATTTTTAAAAATCGAGGAATATGAGAAAAATGGAGAAAGGGTCGCTAATAATAATAATAATAACAATAATAATAATTCAGCCGAACGAAAGTAGGCCCACGAAGCTAGCAAAGCCCCAACTTTGATGACTCAGCAGGGGCCCCACGTGCGGCGCGGTGATTGGTAGCAACACATGGTGGGCCCTAAGAAGTGTTTATAGGTACCAGGTGAAGAAATAGTGATGGTAATAATGATGATGATGATGATGATCCCTTATCATTGTGCATACTTCGTATATATGCGTATTTCTAAAAATTGTTCCACATATTCTTCATTTCATAATTTTTAAAATACAATCTACGGAAATTATTTATTTTTCTCGATTCTTCTTTTATTTTTGTTTATTTTCATATATAAAAAAGGGCGAATTTAATTGATTAATGTGTTTCGAAATTAATGCTCCTCTAATTAACACAAAAACTAAATTTTGTAATATTATGGTATCCGACAATTGATAGATGAACAATTATACTTATCCCCCTAAATTTTGTAATATTCCTAATTAATGGAGTCTAATGATTGGACCACCCTCACGATATTATGGTATGATGATTATACCTAAAATTCATTCAATACACAACTATCTATAATTCAATTTGACGTTTAACAACTGTCGAGATTGCATTTATATATGTTTATAACACGACAACACATAAACTCACATACGCATATATAATCACACGCATGCATGCATGCATTGCCATATTATATTTTCGTTTATATATAGGGCTATATATACATACACTAGCATGTGGCAAATTAGCTAGGTCTTTCACGGAAGAACCAAGGACGAAAATAATTTAGAACTCGGATATTCATTTTATTAGTTTACAAATTTAATCTATTAATCAATCGAACCAACAATCATTTATTGAGCATGAACAAAAAATAGTTTTGTGACCAATACACCAAAAAAAAACACGAAGATTTCAAATTTTTTAGACGTTTTAAAAATAATTTTTCATACGTTAATATGTTTTCACTTATTATTATATAATCATAATTAACCATCTTGAATCAGAAATCTAATTATAAGGTCATATGTATAAATGATTAGTTGGGGATTTATTTATTTATTTATTTATTTATTTATTTAGTTATATGAGATATGGATTTTAGAAAACGAATGGGAGACATGTAGTTGGGAAACGAAGCATTTCCATATATGCAAAGGCAAGAGGTTGAACCCACCACCCAAATGCTCTCAAGGGACAAACATTGATTGCAATATATATAGACCAATCTGAAACTTGCCCCTTGTATGTTTGTATATATATATATATATATATATATATATATATATATATATATATATTTACATATTTAAAAGTCGACAACAAAATGATTGAGGGAGATCAAGCTTTGCAATATATGCGCCATCATGCATTTAATTATGTGAAGAATCTTCATGGGATCATGTGCACATCCTCCATGTAATCCTTTTTTTTTCAGATCTGCTGGATTCCCCCTCCCCCTTCCACTTCTAA